ACATTAACATACCTACAATATATAGACTAAATATAGTTATGGAAGCAAGGAAGAGGAACAGTAATAACCGGGAAGATCAGGAAAAGCTCCCCCCTTGAAGGAAGCGAGGAGAGCATCAGCTAGGTGCCTCAAAGAACAGAACTCTGGGCTTGGAGTCAGGAATTGTGCCTGGAAGATGCTGGCTGTGTGATCCCGGGCAAATCTCTAAATTCTCTGGGCCATTTTATTCATCTGTAAAATGAGAAGTTTGGATTTGGCCTCAAAGGCTTTCCCAGCTTTAAATCTTAGGTTCCTGTGACTAAAGGCATGACATGGAATGTCAACTAGAGACAACAGCAACCAGGTCAGTTCATCAGGAATTTACCATTTAGACTTTAGCAATTTGGGACTAACGCGAAATCGGTGTGGAAATATAAATTGGAAGGGCTTTAAGTGCCGGAGAAAGGAGGGTATATATTTGTCCTCCAGGTAATAGGGAGCCATTGAAACTTTTTGTATAGGAAAGTGAAAGTCATAGGGATAGATAATACAGAGAAAACTTGACAATAACAGCTCCCAGAAAAGATATTTATAAAGGTTTTGGAATTATTTAATGTATAGTGAACTCAGCTATATACATAAAAATAAAGGTGGAAGACAGAAGAGGGAGCCTGGGGTTAAGCTAGTAACAAAGTCAGATTCATAATAAAGCTCTAATAAGGCTGTGAGTGGGGTGGAAAAGTTCCCTGACATGGGGGAATTCAGATTGCTTCAAGCTTTTGGAAATTTTTAGTGCAGTCTCCATGAAAGGAAATAAAATATTTGTGACAAGAGAAAAACATCAAGAATGGAGGGTTTCAGTAACTATTTAGACTATGGGAATTTTATTTCAATAAAATGGTGTGGGCTCAAAATTTCCCAATAAAAGGAAGATTGCAAAATAGCTATGTTGCCTACCAAGAGGACCTAGGCATGGAAGACATTTTTAATTGTTAGATTTCAAGTCTGACAAAGGATTTGAATTTAAAATGTTGATCTTAAGCTTATTTATAGACCTGAAAAAACAAATTCTAGAGATACTTTGCTTAGAGGAAAAGCTTAGAATAAAATGGAAAGCTGGAAGAAGAAACATGCAAACCATAGAAAACATGGAGAATGTAAAAATTTTAAGTCCTTCTGAAGTATTTTTCTGTAACTCAAATCAGTTATGTTTCCATCAACAATCACTTACTAGGCACTTAGCATGTGCCTGGTATTGTACTAAGCAGTGGTCTACAATAAGACATCAGACATACAGTTGGCTGCTGCCATGGGGCCCACAACACCTGAACCAGATTAAAATGTAATACAGAAATATTTAACAAATGATAAAGCAGATAATCACATTTTAAAGTTATTTCAATAGGTAGATCACAGGGATCCTCATGTAAAGATTAGTGGCCCCCTTTTTCTATTTGAGTTTGACATTACTAATGTTCAGGATAAATAATCCGAGAGGGAAGGCACTGGGGTGGAGGCGGGAGTGGGGGAGGGAGAGACAAGGGAGGGGAGGATGGATGGAAGAGAGATGGGACAGGACTGATAAAGGCCTCTTGTGGATGGGATTTGAACTGAGTCTTGAAGAAAGACAGGGAAGCCAACAAGTGGAAGTGAGATCAACAAACATTGCATACAGACCTCTGTTCTGCTCCTAGCATTTCTCCTGGAGTTGTTAGACAGCAAACACCATATTGGCCATTCCTCAGTCCTTTCTGAAGACACACTGGCTCAGGTAGATGAATATCTTCCAGGTGAAGGATTATCCTATTAAGGAGGACTCTGGCAAGAATCTTGCAAGCGATGACTAAGAGAGAGGGAACCCTCAGTGGAAAATACCCTCCCTCTCCCCCCGCCCCCGCCCCACAATGATTGTCACAAGACAACCTATTTCTCTGTCCTTTATAGAAATGGACAATGGAAACATCCTTGAACTCCCGAGGGATAACCTTCTTTTGCCATAAAACACTGAAAATTTTAGTCAGCTTTTGTATGAGCAGTGGACCTCCTCCCTTGTAAATCTCAGCTGGAATAGCATCAGAACAAGGTATTTTGCCACATAAGAGGAGCCTAATGCCATTCAAAAGCTCTTCTTTAGTTGGGAAGTTTGGCTAGAGACTGACTTCAACCTGAGGTAAAAGGTCAGTGGCTTCAGCACTCATTGATGATGGTCTGTTAAGAACACTATGGAAGTGTTCAGCCCATCTCTCCAGGATCATGTCCTTATCATAATTAATGTGGTTCCACCAGCACTGAGTAGTTGAGATGCACCACGGGTTTTTGACCTATAAATAGCCTTCAAGCATCATAAAAGTGCTCTGGATTGTTACTATCAGTATAAAACTGAATTTCATCTGCCTTCTTACTGAGCCAAGACTCCTGCATCTCTAAGTTTCTTGTTCTTTTTACTTTTGCTGGAGTTAAACATCGCTTTCTTAGAGATGGATGAACTATCCTGATGGTAAACCCCGGGAGCTCTCATTTTTCATTTACCGCCTTCTGAATTTCCCAATCATTTTGGTCAAACCAATCTTGATGTTGGCTAGCGTTCTGGCCCAGATGAATAAAGGCAGTGCTGTCCACCAGATCTCCGAAAGTTGCCCACTCCTTTTCTGTTCCACTATAGCTAACCATGTGCTGGCTCAGTTTTCCCTCCAAGTTAGCAACAAACTGTTCACACTCAGAGAAGTGCTTTAATCTGTTGACATTTAAGTTTTCTGGTGGCTGTCTTGCCTTGGGGTTGCCACTTTTGTCAAATGTGAATATTTAGCTTGGAGAGGGTCTCTAGTCAGTCCAGCACTCTGTGCCACACTTTGCCTTTGTCACTCTCACATCTTTTCTCTTCTCCTTACAATAGCATAGTATATTAAATGCCAATGTTTGCTGTGAGGGTGCATCCTCGAGGTTTTATTGCATTTAGGTAAATGGAAGACAGTGTTGGTGATGAGGTCATGAGATGCACAAGTCTTCAGTTGTAAACTACTATTGCTGTTGCTATTTCCTCCTAAGGACTCCCTGCCATGTCTGGTGGTCTCCGCCTACTCTTGAATTGAAGTCACCCAGAATTATAAACTTGTACTCTTTTGGCATACTGATGATGAGGGTCTCTTCATATAATTTTGCTTTGGCCTCATCAGTGTTCATCACGGTAGGAGAATATGCACTGATGGTGTGATGTTTTCCTGCAAGTTGCAATCACATGGTCATGTGCCTGTCATTCACTCCTTCTGATAGGCTTACAAGCTTGTTGACTACATTAGTTTTGATTGCAAAAACTATGCCAGCTTCACAGCACTGCCCTTCACTTGCAGTCTGTCCAGAAAACATGTATTCAGCTGAAACTTCGGTAAGCTGGCCTCCATTTACCAGCCTTGTTTCACTCAGGGCCATTTGGATGCAATATCTGCTGAGTTCTCTTGCAACAGTTGTCTTCACGTCTACTGGATTTTGTGTTCTCGTGTGTGCACATTCCAGGTACTGACAGTGAGTGCAAACATCTTTGCAAAAGTTTTTGTACATTTTTTTGTTTCGACCTCAGGGCGAGATCCCTACCTGCTGCAGTTGGCAGGCCAGGGTTGGGTGAAGCAGACAATTTTTAGGGCACCTTTTCTAGCCCCTTCCTCACACCAAAAGGTGAGCAGTGTGATCCTTCAAAAAGGCTGCTTAGATACCCAGGGGCTGCCAAATCCCACTGCTGCTTCAATCCAATGAGATGACCCAATGTCCTGGTCCGCCTACGTGCAGGGTTTTGACAACAGCTTCAAGTTTATCCACACCTGCCAGTCACCACAGGACTTTGAGGTAGACAAAAATGATAAAATAACATGAGTGATGTCTTTTGACTCGAGCATAAATTGGGTGTTGATCTCACTCTCTTCAGTTATGGAAGTCTAGTGGCAAGATAAAGTCAAAGACAACTGGTTGTGGCTCGGGATGCAGTGGATGACCTTAACATCTTTGATGTTTTACCAAGTTCTAAGTGTTCCAGTGCCTGCTTCAACTGCCTTCGTGGCCACTGGAACAAATTGTTCTCATCCACCAAGGGAAATCTTCACATTTTTGGGGTAGCAACCCTCCTAATTCACTGAAGGGTTTGAGACTCCTTGGTTACCCTCAACCTGGTTTAGCCCATCTGCTGAAATGGTTTAGCAGGGTGTGACTGCTGTGAAAGCTACAATTCCTTGGAGCCACAGGTGAGAGTTGGGTGAATTAGGTGGAGACCAAAAGTGGAAAGCAACCCTGGAAAGGGCTTGGCAGCCCTCACACCAGAGGTGCTAGTCTTCCTTGAACACATCCTATACCCTACTGATGGAAGGTGCACCTACATCAATGAAATCCCAGTTTTGTGAAGTATATGCCATCTCTGGAAATTTATTTACAAAAACATCAGCGACCTGTTATAACAAGGCAACTTAGCAATGATGAACCCACAGACATTTTTTAAGTCAAAATATTCTTAACCTTTAACAAAGTGGCAGAAGATAGGCAAAAATAGGTATTGCTCTTTATTTTTATCACATACGAAGGGTTCAACACACAACCCCGTGCTTTCATTTTACAGATTAGTTTTTAAGGATCTGCTGAAATAACAAATGGGAAAATATGAATGCTCGTTCAGCCAACCTTCTGTTACATTAGTGATATTTTCTTATTTGCATTGAAGCAAATTGACCTAAGGTAAAATTTATTGCCTCTGGTAGGATCTACTCCTAGTGAGAATGAAGGAAGCTGCCTAGGCCAGCCCTATACCAAACAACTAAAAGTGAAGGGACATTCCTTTGAGTTTGTCCAGGTATGTAGTCAACTACAGTTGTAGACAACTACTCCAATCATGTAATTCTGTACTCTGATCAACAAAAAAGAAAATGCACTTTAAGTGGAGAAGACAATTATCACAGAGCTAGCTTACAAAACTTTTTATTACTTCTGGTGCACGGTAAGCAACAGATTTCTTACGAGTTTAAGCAGACATATACAAGGCTACAAAAAGTCAAACTGATCAAATCATACAAAGTGATCAGAAATTTTATTGTTAGCAGGTAACGAAATTGAATAATTAAGAGTTTTGAATGATTGTTTACCTGTCTTTTCAGACATTTCACAGTTATGATTCCCCGTAAGTAGGGAAAACAAAGATATTTGAAGTTACTAATTTAAAGATTTTAATTTGTCTAATTAACCACCACCATTTTCTCTACAATTACTACAGGAAATATAATTTTCATTTAAACTAGGGGCTTTGGGTAGTATAATATATTTAAGCTTTTAAAGAGGGTAACACCAGTTATTTATCTACAATAGGAAAGAAAATCAATGTCAAATGTTTGACGATAGGTTTTTAAAGCACTATGATGCTTTTTATAGCACAACTTTTCATATTAATAGTTCTGCCTACTCTTGTCCCAATAACACCATCAATTCTTTTCAAGCAAGAGGGTATAAGATGAATTTCAACGACATCCAACAAAAGCTTCATTGTATTTGGACAGTGAATGCTTTTTAGAAGATCTGCGTTGTCCGGGGTCCTTTTTCTGTTTGAAAATTGGAGAATTCAAAAAACAAACATCCGTAAATGGATCTCCTCTTCTCAGTTTTCTATGAGAATAAAATAAGATGTTAGAAATAATCCTAAGATTCATATGTTACCTTTGTAGTTCAAATCAGAATCACAGTTGAATTAAATCACAATCTGACCCTCAATCCTTCTGTCCTAACACCCACAACCCACAAGCCTCACCCCACAAAAAGACCGTTATGACATACGTGGCAAGTGCAGGTTCCTTATAATTCACACTGAGGGTACACCTGCGCTTACGCAGAGGCAGCACAGAGCTTTCTTCACTCTTGCTGAATGGAATGGAATGTTTTCTGCTTTTTGCACCAGAAGTTTGATGGATATTGGTGACATCCTTCAAGCTGAGATGAAATGACTGTTGATTTTCAGAAGGTGAACCTATGGAAAATAACATTCACTGCAGAGTGATCCATAAAAAGTAAAAAACCTAAAACTGCTTTCAGTTATGCAATCTGAGTTTAGAGAAGTCAGAATGTTTACCTGATGCAACTCTGAGCGGGATAAGTATGTAAAGAGTATGAATGGTCTAAGGAAAGAGAGAAACTCTATCTAGCTGGCGTGGAGGGTAGTCAAGGCTTCATGAATGAGGTGGCAGCTGAGTTTAGAAACACAGGGAAAACATCAATAAGCAGATAAAGGGATCATGTCACTTATTCAAGACAAAGGGAACAGAGTGAGCAAAGGCAGGAAAAAAGACATGCTCAGGGATGAACAGTTCAGTTTGGCTACAGCACTGAGTAAGTGAAGAGTACTCAATGAGGCTTGAAACGCAGGCTGGACTCAAGACTGTATGAGGTCTTGAATTCTAGGAAAGGGAGTCTGATCTGTTTGGTGGAGAGTAGAAATGGGGACATTTAGCTAAGGCTTTTAAGTAGTAGCGTGACCCGATCATGTTTGTGTTCTAGAAAGACCAATAAAGAGGATGTTGTGGGTGGGATCCATCGGTGGGGTGAAGACGAAAAGGGTGGCAGGCCTGGCAGAAGGTTATTATGACAGTTCCATTCAAGAAACACAAATAGGGATCTGAACTAGGGAGAGAGCAGTGGGAGGGGCTGGATTTGAGGCATTAGGAAAACAGAAACAACAGGAGTTAGCAAGCGATCTATTATGGGGAGTGAGGGTGGGAAAAGGCACATAGGGACACACACACAGACAGAGACACAGAGACAAGTCAGGGCTGGACAGCTAAACCTCAGAGTCATGTGAATAGCTGAGGCCACAGGAATGGACAAAACCACCAAAGAAGAAAGTGTAGCAAGAGGGGAAAAGACCACTGACAAAGCCTTAGGTAATGCTAGAAGGGGGAAAAAAAGAAACCATGAGGGAGATGGAGAAAGGATTAGAAAAGAGAGAAAAAGGAAAATCTGTTGTGATGGAAGTCTTAGAGAATCAAAGAGGATACTGCAGACTAGAGATGTCAGGCTCACTAAGTGAAGCCGAGATTAAAATGTAATTGGGAAACGTTTTACAAAGTAAAATATAACATATAAATGTGGCCTGCAGGGGTTTGTTTTTATTTGAGTCTGACCCAACTGCTGTAGATTATAACTGCAAATGCTGTAGAGGTCAAAGTGGAGGAAGACTAAGAAGAAGCCACTGGACTTAGTAATCAGGCCATTTAGTGAGCTTTTTGAGGGTAGTTTTAGTAGAGCTGTCTGATCACATGCCAAATTTTAATGGGTTTTAGAGGCAAACAGGTGAGTGGTAATGAAAGTAAGTGGACAGTGCTTATTCAAGAGTGACAGGAAAAGATGGGGAAGTGGTAGGATTGGAAAACAATTTTAGGAGTGTTTTGGAGCCAGAGAGGAAGGAGCCAAAGGAAAGAGACTGAAGATATAAGAAAGAGAGGGGATAAATGACAGCACCCAAGTCTGAGGAAGAGATGGAAAGGAGAGTGATAAAGAGCCCAGGGGAGTGAGGTTGGCTCTGGTTAGGAGAGCCATCAGCCAGAAGTGGAAGACAAAAGATGGGGTGAAGGGAAGTTTGCTCCACTAAACTGGAGCAAAAATGAAAATCAATCTCAAATGAGCAGAAAGATTTAAAGGAAGATGACAGTGCTGTGCAATTCCAACAGATCCAACACAGACCACTGAAATCAGCTCACCCTGAAAAATCGGAATCATTTCTCTTAAAATGATCTTTTTGATCCTGAGATGTGATCGAATCGGTGTTAGGCGCTCCCTGTGTGAGAAAACCGATTGGCCGATTTGTGCTGCTCGGCACCTAGTGGTCTTTGGGATGTGCCTGGGGTGTGGAAAGGCATGGTCCCTTTCCTGGGTGCCCACATCCATGTGTGTGACATGGGTCAGACTTGAACTTAGGGTTTCCTGACCTGAAGGATGGCTCTCTAACCACTCCTCCATGCTGTCTCATCTACAAACATTTAACTAATATAAATCAGTTGCTATAACAGAGGCTAGAAGAGCCTGGAAATCATCTCCATCAGTGAACATTCGATCTCCTAGGCCACAGGTGAAACAGAGAAGCCCCAGGCAAAACTTGATTATAATCTAGTTAACAAAACATTACAAAGATGGGAGTGGAAGGTTACAAAATGTCATTTCACAAAACTGGTGGGGAAGTCTGTAGAAAGCTTGGTTCGAGACCCAAAGAAGCAGATGATCTCCAAAACATTCTTAGATGAAAGTGGAAGGAGGACAAGAAAAAAATCAAAAATAGCAACTTGCTGGCACTGCAACCATTATTGACAGCTGGTGGTAGAGTACATGTGGCACGTCCCTTTAACATCCTGAAGCCTCAATTTTCTCATCTGAAAAATGGGGATGATATATAATACCTCCACTAAATCCTTCATGGGGTTGCTACGAGGTTCAAATGAGATAACTTGAGTCATTTTTTTTTAAAAGCTTGAAACACTCTGAAAATGTCAACTACAGTGTCCATACAAAGCAAGTAATAATCCTGCTATATTTGGCCCTGGTTGATGGTCACACCAAGAGGACTGCATTTACTTTTAGGCATCTGAGGGGCAGCCTGACATAGTTGAGAGCAGGGAAGCCTTGGAGTGAAAAAGACCTGGGTTCAAGGCAATTCACTCGGTTTCTCAGTGCCCCAGGCAGGTAGCTCCCTGATGCTATCAATCAGAGGTGAGTAATCAATGTGTGTCTATGGAGGGTGTTTCCATACCAGGATTCCTTAGGCTGATAAAATCACAGGTTCATACTGAAAGAAGAAAAATGACTTCACAAGGATAATAAATTAAATTTCTAGAGCACTTTAATGTCTCTTTTGTGCCCCCTCCTCCTTCACTACATTAAATTAGATTCCTCTGTGGATGCATTGTAGGCTTTCCTCCAGCAGAGGTTAGAAACTCTCATTTTTGTCTTGATAACCTATAGTCCAGGGGTGCGGAACCTGCGGCCTCGAGGCCACATGTGGCTCTCTAGGCCCTCAAGTGTGGCTCTTTGACTGAATCCAAACTTCAAAGAACAAATCCCCTTAATAAAAGGGGATTTCTGTAAAACTTGGACTCAGTCAAAAGGCTGCACCCAAGGACCTAGAAGGCCACAGGTTTCCCACCTCTGTCTAGTACATTACCTAGTACAATGACTTACATATAGGAGATGGTGGCAGAATTATTCAATTATATTACTTCTGTTTTTTAACCAAGGAGGAAGATCCTCAGAATGAAAATGTTTAATTAAATACAATTAACAGAATTGATAGGCAAGGTAAATGATGGTAAGATAGGAATAGCAGAACTCAGAGAGTTCATGTTACTACATGTTACTACTACATGTTACTACACCTTGAAGCCTTGAAAAAAAAAGTCCCATAGTGACATGGACAGATGCACAATGGGAAACAATGTCACAATGACAATTACAGGCATACAGAAGAGCCAGTATCACACATAACAATGAGAGAATACAATGTGATGTCTGCGGGGACAGAGTGAGGCTCCATAGTCTGAATTTGAACCCTGGTCATGTTACCTTGTGACCTTGGACATTTCACCTAATTCATCAGGGTCTCAGTTACATCATCTGTAAAAATAAGTGGGTGAAGCTGGATGATCTTTCAGGTTTCACTCTCAGTGACCTCAGAAAACTTCAGGCCTGGCACAGGCAATACCTGCCTGGAGAAAAGCAACCCCCTTCAGTCTTTAAGAAGGAAAAGTGGGTCTATCCCACCACTACAGACTAGTAGGTGTGCCTTCCATTCTTGGCCCAGTCCTACAAGGTATCATGAACGGGATGATCTGTGAACACTGAGAAAGGCACCCAGTAATTACTGGTAAGGAAGACCATCCAGATCAGGTCATGTCAGACTAATCTCATTTACGAGTCTGATGTAGCAAGCACTCCTACTTTCAGTATGCCACAGGACAAAGTCACTCAAACAACGCTTGTGGGCAAGATGGGCAGATATGAATTATAGCACAATTAGGGAGATCGGGAGCCAGGCCAGGATGGACCCATAATTGCATTAAAAGAGCAAAATCAAGTAGAGAGGAGGTCTTGGGAACGTCCTAGGGGCTTACCCTTGGCTCTGTTCTACTTAATGACTTGGATCTAGGTATAGATGGCATGTTTATCATACATGCAGATGAAACAAATCCAGGAGGGACACCTAATCCACTGCATGGCACAGTTAATATTCAAAAGAGATTTTGACAAATTAGAAGTGGTAAAACGAAATGCAGTAGGGATAAATGACAGTTATGTAATTAAAAAAACCCAACTCCACAAGCATAGGACTGGAGAGATGGTTAGATAGCTGTCCATGTGAAAAAAGTCGAGAGGGGTTAGAATTAAGGTTATAGAGGCTTCAGGAGACTTGAAAGCTCCAAAGAAGTCAATACTGTCACAATCATAGAAGTCTAATGTGTCTATAGGAGGCATCTTGTATCCAGAAAGACGGTGGCCACCCATCTGTCATACTCACTCCTCATTAGGTCAAACAGGGAATATTGTTCTCTTCTTTGTATTCCCAGCCCTGAGTATGTTACCTGGCTCACAGTAGGTGCCTAATAAACTTTAATTTATTCTGAATGCTCTGCTTAGAGATGGACATTAATAGACTGGAAGAGCCATAGAGAAGACAATAAGAATGGAGAGGGAGGAAATGACTACATTGTGCTACCTGGTTGAAGTAAACTGAAGCTGGGTGAGCTTGAGAGGGAGAGACCGAGAGAGGCCATGAGCACTCCCAGATTTTGCAGGGCCAGACCCTGGTGGCCATTACAAAAAGAACATCTCAACAGAACATTCTCCAGCTGGGATGGGCTGCCAAGAGGTTTTGTTCCACACTTCCTATCATCAGCCTCTTTGAGGAAAGGCTGGACTGATCACTTGCCAAGGGGCACTGCATTGCAGAAGGGCAGTAGGGGACTCTGCTGAGCGCCTTTCTATTTCCAAGACCCAGGTTTTGGGGTCAGGAACAAACTAAGGGGCCTCCTATGAGATGACTTTCATCTTCTTAACAAACAGGAACTGAAATAATTTTCTGAAAATTTGATCAGGAGCAGAGCTGGGGGTTGAGCCAAGAGAAGTTGTTAATAAGGCAGTATGAAAAATGTGAGAGTAGATGGTTGATTCACAAAGATTATAAGTCACTTGACATGATGAAGCATAAATATTTATGCATATCATCAATTCGATAAGCTGAGTTATGTTTGTTATCCATTATTTATAAGCTTTGTAATTTTGTACAACATATGCAAATCCTTTGATTTTGGCCCGACTTTATCTCTTCACCAAACTTCTTTTTTTTTCTTTTTTTGCTTCTGTGGTCTTTACTAACAGGGCCTCTGCAATATGCCTAGAATCGTGTTTAAAGACCAAACTGAAGTGGGCCAAAGAAAGCCAGGAATGGTTTCCCTACATTATCAGCCCGAACAACCCCACCCCCAGAGACAGATGGTGATTCTGTAACCTCTCCCAGGGAAACATATGGTGAGTATATCAGCATCAGCTATCATTTACCATCAACATCAAAACTGCAGACAAACAAATGGTTCACTTACTGATGCAGAGGCTGGTGTCCGCTCTCACAGAGCTCTCAGGGGTGGTTTCAGTCACACACTTCTTCTGCTCTAAAAGCTTCCTTTTGGATCGAGGTCTCATTTGGACCGGGCTTAGAAAAGAACCCAGACTTTGCATGTATTTGGATTTTTGTTTAAAAGGTACATAGAGTTCACCAGAATCCCGTTCTGAAATACTAGATTCAGAGCTGTTCATCTCAGACTGAATGCTGATTTCTTCTTGCACACAATCATCATTCACTTTCTTTTGCCGGAAAGGAGTGATATGAACGCGTTCTTCAAAATTAAAATTGTAGGCATCACTGGAGTCAATAGACTCATCTAATTTTTCCTTGGAAGGAGTTTTATTACCTCCACTCCTGCTCTTCCTATCCTTTGATGCACACTTAGATTTCCTCATCCCACTAGATTTTCCTTTCTGTTCTCTTTTTCCTCTTTGTGAATATTTATTTTTTATTTCAGTTTGTTTCACTTTAGGTTCCGCCACCACACATTCTGTTTCAGTAAGAGCATCTGGCTCAATCAGTCCTGGGGATAAATTAATTTGGTCCTTGTTCCACTGACAGATATTTTGGTCTAGATTTTCAGTGACAAGATTGTTTATTAGGTTTTCCTGAAATTCAAGGCTGCCCGGTTTGCAAAATTCCTCTGTCAAATTACCAATTTCTAAATGATCTAAAGTTTCAATGTGACATATATCAGTGTGTGTTTTCCGTACACTATACCTCCGAACAGACACACTTCTTGGTAAGACATCGTCAGGTAGCTTCTCCTCTTCGTTTGGAGAAGAAGTCTCAATATTAATCCCCAGTGCATCTTGACAAACAGGAGAGCTTTCTCCTAAGGATTTAATAGATAAATTAATTTAAAAAGTTCTCCTTCCTCCTCACCCCCCCAACTAATGGGCTGTTCTTAGACGTGACCAGAGAGGTGTTTTCTACATTTACAATAGGTTGTAAAAGTATCTGTTTTAGGAATAATCTTGGAAAACTTGACATTATCATTAAGTTTCTCAGTTACAAGAATCCGACTTGTGAAAAGATTTTGTCTGGCCCCTGGAAAAGACTCTCCAAAGGTCTATTATATTCCTCTGACTTAAAGAAATAAATCTAGTCGAACTAGTTAATAAATCAACCAATAAAAAATTAAGTAACATCTACCTACATAACATTATAAAAGCAGTTACAGGAAACACAAAAAGTAATGATAAGACCTTTTGGGGAACATACAATTTTACTGAAAAGGCATGTGAAAAATTGATGGTATGCTACCCAGAATTTTCATTTAAATATCAAATGAGTAGGATAGGTATCAGAAATTCAATCAGAAATTCAAAGGAGGGAGAGGTCATTGAGGATAGTAGAACCTGGATTAAATTTGGGTAGATGGTAAGGAGTAAGGAAGGCATTTGAGGCAAGAAGGATCATATGAGCAAAGCTGAAGAGGCAGGAATGAGCCAGGTCTAGATTTGCCTTAAGGAAAACAAAGTTAAGGATGGAAACATGAACTGGGCCCTTTGAATCCTAAGCTAAGGAGTTTAAACTTTATTCTAAAAGTAACAGGAAGCCATTGATGGTGTGTGAGCAGAGTGGGTGCTGGCAAGGTGGCAGTTACCTTCTATTTGAAATGATTCAGCTTTTGCTGGAAGGTCAGCATCCAGAACGGGTATACACCTTGGAAGTTCCCTATGAATAACAACTGCAATTTATTCATTAATCCTACTGTAATAATAATTTTAACATTTTCCTAATTTCTGTAGGATTTTTTTTTTAAGGTAGCATCTCCCAACCCCACTGAAATGAAAGTTCTTTAGCCAGACACTATCTACAAACATTTTTTATAGTAATCACCTCGAGGCTAATTTCTCATTATTAGCACATGCAATTCTTCACATATTTGTGTATGAGGTGGTGTATGTATCAATGAATAGGACCTATTCTGAACTGCTTTGCCTGAGGTAGTCTGTCTTTATTTGGTGAGAGGCAGTATGCTGGAATGGATGCAAGATCTGGACTGAGAGGACCTGAGCTTGAATCTCAACTCTCCTGCTTACTGTATGAGCTCAGGCCAGTCAGCTCTCAGCCTCAGTTTTCCTACATGCATTTGTGAAGTGGATCAGGCTGGGTGACTGAAGATCCCTTTGCAGCTTGGAAGAATATAGATAGGCACAGCACACATATCCATTTCTTTTTTAAACTAGGGGAAGGATGAAAGGGTCCTGGAGGAGAAGACAGAGGACCTGAGCTCCAAATCCTACTGAATACTTGTGTGATCTCTTGGAGCCTTATTTTCCTCATCTTTAAAATGATGTGGTTGGACTATATGACTTCTGAGGTCCTCTCCAGCATTGAATTTATGTTTTAATTGACCTCTACTTAACTTACATGTTCCTCAGTAAACTCTTTATAATTGGTTCAAAGATAAAACTTGTACATGATTAAATGATCAAATTCTGAATTATTAGAATCTGAATTATATTGTATATTTAGCATATCAAGCAACACATTTCATTTCAAAATGAATGCAAAATTTAAATTTGATCTACAAAATGTACCTTTCTTTATCACATCCAACCACTCACTAATAATTGTAATTTCAAATTAACTCTAATTTTAGTATACTGTTTTTCTGTGTGGACCTTTTTACACATAAAAATCAATATTTAAATACAGATTTTGATCACCCACAAGGGTAGTTTTATGTTAATCAAAAAATAATCATCTCAGAAATATAATCCTAACTCAACTCCATTCTTTACATTTACAATACATGCTTTATTGATCTGGGGTTAAATTGCTTTAAAATGATACACGGAGGAGAAAGGATGGCAGAAAATAGATAGGAGACGGGAGTATATTTTAAACAGTAACTTGTCCAGTCCAAAAATATAGCATGCATTACATAGTTATTCAAGAACTAAAATTAAATGTAATATTTCTTTTATAAACTGACAATTTATGCCATAAGAAAAAACATCATTAGAATAATCACTTCCATACAGCTCTCAGTCTGGAAAGTATACAAAGAGTATAACTTTTGGGAAAAGAATGCCAGTCCAAGAAAGCCTTCTTGTGCTGACCCAACAAAGAAGACAATTAAAAGTGTAACAAAACTAAAATATTTTTTCTCTGCTCAGTGATTCCAACAAATCTCATTTCATTACAACATTCAGACCCTACATATAGCAAACTATATGGCAGAACTTTTTGTCAGCAGGATTCTTTCTATGAGAGATGCATTTATTAACAATTTTGAAAAACTTTTATACTTACGGTAAGTAATTTACTGCTGAGTCACTGGAGATATCTTCATTGTAGAATTCATCCGTTTCTGAGGTACATATTTTCTGGTTCTGTTAATGTGTATGAAAAGCACTCATTAACATGGAAATATTCATATAGAAACATTACTAGCTACTGTATAGGTTCAACTATGCAAGAGAAGGCAAATAAGTGTGATCCATTGATGTGGGTTCCCTCTTTAGCTATAAAAATCCTACTCAAGTTCTGGAGGTCTAAATATTCTGTCTCCAAAATGAGAGTGGAAGGAAATAACAATTTTTCTACTATGTACTTATATATTTTTTCTTCAAAGAGATGTCATTTTAGGAAGCTGGCCTATATTCAGATCAAAATGGCATTATAGGAACATTGAAGATGATGATAAATTCATCATGTCTGATAACACCATATACATGCATAGTCTCAATTTTCCGAACGTTGGAAGTCAAGTTTTTTGAAAAGTTCAATTTTCTACTGTCCTTGTAGTTACCATTTGAAAGGTTTATTCACAGACACCATTATTGACAGTAAACAGATTAAATTAAAAAGGAGTACTTGGTCTATTTCTTGAATAATTCTAAAATTACACTGAAACTTTGGCTAAAAAGAAAAATGTAACAAAATGGATCCAAAAGGGTCTTTAGACACTCTGAACAGCACAGCTAAACTGTACTATTATCTGCCTAGTCAGAAATTAGCAGAGGGAAATGTTCCTTTCAAAGTCTTTTAATCTTTCTACAGATGTTACAATTAGAAGCACACCAGTGGTTGTACAGAACAAGAGTAGGAAAAGAACTTCCCCTTAAAAATTCCAACAATACACGACAATATTTTCAGTGCTGATTAATTTCTAGTCATTCATGAATGACTACCAAAAAGCTGGACCATAGAGCGGGGAACTTTCACTACTTTCTATAAATGTCTCCATTTGTTAATAATAAGCCTTTCTAAATCCAACTCTTACTCAACCTCTGCCGCTGAATCTCACTAAAACTTTAGAGACTAGGAAATGATTCAAATATTTTTCCCCTTACTGATCAACTAGCAATAAAGAAATACTGGGAAGACCCAAGAAAAGCAATCTCATCTATTTTTTTTTTAAATATTGAATTTAACACCCAAAAAGAGAACATATATAAAAAGTGGAAGAGAACAAGTAAATTCTATGTGAAACCATGAATTTCTATTATGTACAGCTTATTTGGACAAGGACATATGGATCTGGGAATCACCTATGTAGAGATGATGACTGGGAAGTGATGAAACTGCCATGGGCCAGAGTATGGAGTGAAAAGTAAAGGCCTAGGACAGAAGTGTGAGAGTCTCCCAGGCTTAGGGAGCAGGTCTAGGAACCAGGACGAAACAGTGGCACAGGAAGCCAAAGGAGGAGAGGCTCCATGACCAAGGGGCAGTCAACAGTGTCAATAACAGCAGAGGGGAAAAGGAGGAGAGGGATTCACTCCAAAAAATTCACTGGACTTAAAGGTAAGAGGTCACTGGGAGCCTTGCAATGTCAGTACAACAGTGGGGTTAAGAAATGAATAAATGATGAAAAGTAGGAGTGGAAAATTCTTTCTAGAAATTTGGCAGGAAAAGGGAACTTGAGGGCATGGAAGTATCAATGGAGTATATTTTAAAAATGGGGAAACTTGGCATGTCATGGGCAGCAGAGAAGAAGCCATTAGAAAGAGAGGGACTGAAGATATGTGAGAGGGAATCAATAAGACAACTCTCCAGGGTTCTTGGAAAAAGGGAATTAAAGTCAGAAGGGGTAGACCTGAAAAAGGGACCCTTTTTCTTTGGAAAATGTATGAAAGGAGAGGATCAGTGATAATGTATATGGGTTTTGACATATGGAAAAGGGGAAAAGAGAAACTCAGGAAAGCAGGAAGCAAGGTCATCTGCTGAGAGAGAGAGAGAGGAAATAGGGGAGGCAAAGAGAGGCTTGAGAAGGAATGGGAAGGTTTGGAGTAGCTGTTGAAGTATTCCGTTTTCTAAAAAGCACTAACATCTCAGAAACAATATTACGTACCTTGCTGTTGTTCAATAAATAGCAGCTGAAATAAGCAACTTAAAAGAAAAAAAGACAATTGAACGAACTTACAAGAGCCGTAGAACACAAAGCTTGAGCTGGGCTAAGAAGGTCAGCTGTCTCTAGCAATTTCTGAGTGACATTACAAATAATGCCTCTCAAAGTCGACAGTTTAGCCTGATCGAAGAAAAGAGAAAAATGTTTATGTTATGTTATAGTGAATTCCTAAATATTGTTAACTACCAAAATTATTTTGGGAGAGGAGTAGGGACAAGTGTTATCAATAAAACACTAGGCACAGAGACTAAAAGAAAATTTCTCTATGACATGGGCCCTGTCCTTATGGAGCTTAATTAATGTAGCATGTAGAGGATGAGGGTGGGGAACAACCAAGGGAGAAGAAGTAAACACAAATAATTATAATACACAATATTAAGGGCACCAGAGAAGCAGAAACAAAGAAGTGTTAGGGGAACTGCAAAATGGAAGGTTGTTAAAGATAGAAAAGACTGAGAAGGTAGTGTTTGAACAGGACTTTAAAGGATGTGGGAGGATTTCACGGGTAAAGATAAGGAGGACATTTTAGACATAGGAAATGACATAAGAGACACAGGGGCAGAAAGGCTCAGGGTACATTTTGGGACAGAGTAGCCCACTTTAGTTGAAATGGAGAGTATGAAAAGGAACAATATGAGATTAAGCTAGAAGGTCAAGTGGCCCCAGATTGTGGAGGGCCTTGGAAAAATGGGCAAAAGTTTGACCATGCTGGCAAGCAACAAGAAGCCACAGACAATTTTTGAGCAGAGAAGTGACATGAGTAGATCTAAGTGAATAATCTCCAAGTCATTTCCACTTGGCTCTGCAGTCCACTGTACTTTTCAACAGGTTTGTCTTGGCTAACAAAAAAATGGTTCCATTTCCCCTATGTAAGCAACAACTGATGGCGTGAGAAAACTGCCCCGAAGGGTGCTGAGTCAAAGAAACGCAGGACAGCTAAGACAGGATTTTAAATTTGCAGTAGATACGAGATAACTCATACGTAAACAAGTGAAAGTTAACCATTGTGTGAAACCTGCTGTTTCTAGACTTGACTTACATTAAATTATCTGATACCAAGTTTGTAGAAATAAATGCAGTTAAGATTTAAATAACCAAATTATCAATAAACTTGATCCCACTAAAACAGCAATAACCAAAATGCTGAAAAAATATTGACTGTTAATATCAAAAGACCATCGTCGGTCAAACGTTTTCCCAAATCACTCCACTGAAACTCAAACACATTACTGATTCCTGTCGTGTCCATACGATGATATGAAACAGCACCAGACAAAAGAATTGGGTCGGGATGGTTAAAAAGTGTTTTGATAATTTGAACCATAAGATCAGTGCTTATAAATTCCTGCTGCAAAATGAAATTGATTAGAAAGGTGACTGAGTCTTCTGACCTAGTATAATTTACCTGTCTTTAGAACCAGCTTAAATATAATTGCTCCCTCAGCTCAGTGACTTATCTCTGTCCCTCAGTTCAATTTGCTAAATCATCAGCAATGCATAAAGTCAAGTGTTCAATTTGCTACTTGCTTTAAAAACAAACATGTGCCAAGCACTTTCAGTGTATGTGCAAGGCACCAGAGACAAAAAGACAAGAACTAAAATCAGCCCCTGCCTTCAAGAAGTTTATACTTTATTGGAGGAGCACAACAGTAATAACAAGTGTAAGGAAAAGAGAGAAAGGAGAGAACATGAATAACGAATAATGAGGTATGACCAAGGGAAGCTTCATGGAGAAGATGGCTCACGGAGTTAGGCCTTGAAGGAAGACCAATTAGAAAAGCACAAGCATCAATTCTATACCCGAATCTCTGTGTATAGGGCATGGTTAAGGCTGAAATTGTATCGGAGGTTTAGACTGACTAAGGTAATCAATAGGAAAAAGCTATCTGCTATTAAATTTTAAAACTAAAATTGAGCTAGATTAGTAATAGGTTAAAATAATTAATTCAAGGGTGTTAAAATTTTCTTCTGGGAAAACAACTCTTTTTTCATAATGCAAATACCTGAGTAGAATCTTCGGCTTGCTGTGAAGTCAGCTGTCTTCTTAATACAAATAGCTGAAGGTTTAGGTATTGGCACTCTTTCTTCAAATTTAGGATGGTGTCTTGGGCATCTCTCACTCTGGATCTTTCATTTTCTAAAGCTAAAGCTAGAGCTCTGTTGTTTTCTTGGTAACTTTTCAATTGTGTAGATGGGTTGGCTGAAAGAAATATTCAATGGCTTTTTAATTATTAAATGCAAATTTAGTGAATGATGCCAAAAGAAAGTAAATATGAAAGCTTCTTACTGAGTATCTTGCACTTTGCAGCCAGGATGGTCTTGGGTTTGCCAACTTGTGCCAATCGCTTGTTTCTTTTCTCTTTCATCCGTTCCTTTATATCTTCCAGACTATCCTGAAAGGACTTTTTAAGGCATTTTTCCTTAGACATCTTCTACCTAGAGATTTAACAAGGGGAAAACTATTTAAATGAATCATTTCAAGCAATAATCCATTTATTATGAAATAAACTATGTCACTGAAACATGAGAACATAGGCTGTGTCTGGAGATTTGGCAATTACCTGTATAGGATTATCCAATCAATGTACATAGTTTAGACAAAGTCTGATTTTGCAGCTTTCCCAATTTCATTTACCATTTCTAATGTCAGGTGACTTATGGAATAGGTTTAAATAATGAAGGCATTTCTAAAAGATGGATTTTCCACTTTCTAAAGCACTTTCCTTGTCTGATAACATTTTTAAGCTTTTGCTATGGATGTTATCTGTCATTAACAGGGCTACATTCTACCCTCCTCATTCTCCTTTCCCTGGAATTCTAGTTTCTTCTGGGGCCCTGTACTTCTGACTGGGGAGTCCACCATATGTAGGCACTTTCAGATCCACCACACCACGTTTCTGCCATGTCACTGCTATGCTGCTCTTCAATTCCACCTGCCTTCCTGAGGCCTGGCACTACTGACTGCGAGGAGCCACCAAATCTAGGCAGCCCAGGACCTGCCTTGCTGCATGTGTGTGTCCTTCTGGTCTCAATGTCCACCTCTTATTCTGATAACAGTAAACTCTATTGCCAATCATTTCCCATGACTCCATTCACCATCCTGTTATTTCACAGATCACAACACTCCCACCAGGATGCCATTCATTCTCTTATCTGTTGTCTTCCCCTATAAAAATGCTAGCTCCTTGAAGGCATGATGGACTCTTCAATGGTTACATTTTCACCAAGTACACCCTTGAGGCCAGTGACACCAAAATATGAAAAACATGATTATATAGAAATGACCAAGGTTCTGATTTCTGGTCAATCATTTCAGCTCGATTTTGTAGGTTTCTGGCACCAGGACAGAGGCATTTATATATTTCACTTTTTTTCCTCCAACTTCCTATTGTCGCTCAGTTGTCCAAATGGATGGATATTTCACTCAATTCTTTAAACAGATCACAGTGAATTTCCTTTAACCCGGAATAGCAATGTCAATTTAAATTTAAATTTCAGGCTTTTCTATGCTGATCAACTTTAACATATTAATATTCAAAATACATAAAAAATATCGACAAATTCAAAGTTACAGTTCCGCTGTAACATCATATATAGTTAACAATAAGCACAAGTAGAAATATATCATCTTAAAAGTCTTTAGGATCTTTATGGAATAGCTAGGCCAACTTATTTTATATATAAAACTAAAGGCCAGAGAAACTCAAGATCACACAACTACTTAGTAGACAGAGCGAAGAGAAGACCTAGGTGCCCTGACTACTAGTAAATTATGACGCGTGTTAAATAGATCTTTAAATATATGTATATATTTAAAAACCCACAAGTAGTACTCAATGTCAGTAAAAGAGAACGATATTTTTGTTATAAAAACACTACTGTACATAGTTCAGGGCATGATAAATACTTTATAAAAATTCTTCAACCTGTGATTTTATCAGTGTGCGTACTCCTTCCACAGACACAGATGGCAAATTCTCAAAGAGGTAGTAGTTCTTTAAGAGTTGCTGTAGACAAAAGAAAAAAAAAATATCAACCTGTGGCCAATTTGGTGATGAACTCTGATCAGAGCTAGGCTGGTTCTTGGATTACAGACTGCGTCTATCCTAGGGCCCATATTCTAGTGCTTTCTGGCATTAAGAACAGCTAAAGCTTACAGTCTGCTGGCTTAACCTTGAAGAACTCAGGGTCACCTCCATGACATCATAGGACAGCAGAGTATGTAGGACTTAATGGAAAAAAGAATGACAAGTGTTTGTGTTAAATATAAAAACAAAATTGCCTAGTATGCTGTACTTGCATTAAATCAAATGTTGATGATCAAATGTACTCAACCTAAAGAAAAAAAAAAACCTTTCAACTTAGTTCTGCCATCAGATATTTATTGATGTGCAACACATGGGACTGGGAAAGGGAGAGGGTAGGGTAGGGATGGACATAAAGCTGATAAGTCACATTTCCTGCTTCCAAGAGATTTACTTGGTAAGTGTGTATCTGTATTGGGCGATGGGGCAGGGTTATGTGGGAATCTGGGTAAACAAAAAGCTACTGTACAAGGGATATTAAACACTTTTCAAAACCCAAAGTATTATATAAGTGTTAGCTAATTAATAATAGAGGTACAAAAATGCTATGGAGTTTTACAGGAAGAGATCATATCTAGTTTGAAGGAATAAGGAAAAGCTTCATGGAGAAAGTGGTTCTTGAGCTGGTCCTTAACAGACAGGCTGGATTTTAACAGGTGAGGATCTTGGGGAAGGCACGTCAGACAATGATCACAGCATAATCACATCAAAGCATAAAGCAGAGGTGTCAAACTCAAATAGAAATGGGTCCCAGCAGGGCATACTGACCAAAAACTACAAATTAACATTGTTTGTGTTACACTGTATTTTTATTTATTTTGTTAAACATTTCCCAATACATTTTAATCTGGTTAGGGCTGCACTCAGGAGTTTAAAATCTCTGGCCTAAAGGAAAGGATGTGCAGGTTGGCGTGGGGAACTGTGAGTAGTTCAGTTTAGATGGCCTGCTAAATAAAATAAACTCTTGGATCTGGCATTCAAGGCACTTTATGATTTGGCTCCAGTATTACCTTCTAGTCTTATTTCATGATATTTTCCCCTTGTGTAGTATACTAACCTGGAAAAACTAGGCCAGTTTATAAATTCCTTTCCACCTGTCCACACTTGTACATATCTGTTCTCATACCTGGCACAGACCACTCCTAACTTAATATATTGACGTGATTATTTTCTTTTAGGGCTTAACTCAGATACCACCAACCCAAAGGATGCCTTTCCTGATCTCTTTGGCTGGGAGTGCTCATCTCTCCTTAAATCTCTCAAACTCTTTTGGCTTTTTCTATGTAGTTATTCATTATCTAACTTCTGGAAACAAACAACTTTAACCTGTCCTCTCTCCTTGTTTTTAAACTTCTTGAGTGAAGGTGCTGTCACTTTTCACTTATATATCTCAGCTTAGCACAGTATCTGGCATTTAGTAATATGCCTCTGTTTCCTCAATTGTGAATGAAGGAGCTGGTTGTCTAAGGTCTCTAGTTCCAAATCTATAATTGTAGGACAAATATTGAATTGATGGTGTCTAAGGTCTCTAGTTCCAAATCTATAATCGTAGGACAAATATTGAATTGAAGGTTAGGGAGTGGTAGGAGATAAGGTTTAAAGCAAGGCTGGGGGCCATATCATTGGACATAACACTGGACTTTCATTCCATGATCAATGGAGAACCACTGACTGCAAAGATTCTGGAGAGGGGAATGACTTCTGCTAAGCAGATTCTAGAACCTCCATTCCTTTCTATGATGCTATAGACTCTTAGCTTTAAAACTCATATTTCTTCTTCAGTGTGTCCCATAACAAATTTCTTCGCCTCAACGTTCTGAATCCAATTCTTTCCTTTACACCTCCACTCTCAGAATCTCAATCCATTTTCTCCAGTCCTTTTGGCTTTTCCTACAACTACACTGACTAGCAGCAACCTTTATGAAGAAGTATCTCTAGGTCTTGGTTATTTTACTTTTTGTCAGATTAGATCTTGTAGTATATAATATATAATAACATTTTAAGCTATATTGGAAGATTTATAGAAGAGTACTCCTATCTATTTTTAAGGAATGCTTCTTACTAAGAAAAAGAAAACAGACTTAATCAGGAGGGGGCATAAACAAGATAACCGGCTATGTTAAAAATACTTACTCCTCAGGGACTGAACCTGTGATTTATTTGGTATCAATGCAGGTCAACAACCTCTCTACAATTACAGTTTTAGAGGGGCTGCCTAGAGACCACTGTCAAGCTATGACTTGTCTAGAAGTACTCAGGGGGCATTAGAGGTGGCACCCGAACTCAGGTCTCTCTGTAACTGCCCACTTTCTCTCTACTGTATCTTACAAAGGCTTTATGTGCTTGGGCAATAGGCCTTGCACGTGAGAAGCACTTATTTTATTTGGACTCTTAAAGGTATTAAAAACAGACAAAAGTCACACTCAGATGCCTTAGAGAAGCACGTGTTGGTAATCTTGTATTTTCAAAGGCTATGCCAGCAGGCACAACCTCTGGTAGTGTGAATAAAGGCTGGATTCTGTCAACTCTTGGATGGACCAATTTAGCTAAGTGGAGAGGCTAATCACCCGCAGGCTGGCTAAGATAAGATAAATTATTTGGCCATGGCTGCTTATAAAAATTAAAAATGGAGGTTCTAAACCAAATAAGAGTGACTATTCAGAGGATAGTCTAGACTTATCGGGTAGATTATAGTGAGGATTCCTTTTGTATATGCATTGAACCAGATGGCTCCTGAGGTCCCTTCCAGTTCTTAAATACTATGAATATGCAAATTGAGGTAACAGATCAAAGATCAAAAACACCTGCCTGTAAGCATGCTTACAAAACGTTGTATTAATGTCATCAAAATAGTCATTACCAATGAAACGTATTTCACAATAAATGGGGAAACTACTATGTCATACTTTGTATGTATCCGTTTCGTCCAAAATTGTTTACATAGGCTCAAGTTTATAGGTATCAGTGTGTGTGTGTGTGTGTGTGTATGTGTATGTATATATATATATACACACCTAGTATAGTACATTCAGGCTTTGGGCAAGTGATAGCGGAAAGTATGTGCTAAGTCAAGCTTTTGATTGTGAATCCCATTTTAGGTGGTTCTACCCTATTCCAGGGAATGACATGATCAGAACAATGTCAAGGGGCTTTGCAAACCTTCGAGCCCTATCCAAGAGCTGTCTATTGTTATTTGATTTTAGACTCTCTACAAATAATACCCTATGACAGTAACATTCTTCTTTGGGAAAGTACCACTATCTTATGTCTCATTTGATTGAAACAAATCAAAACATGGAAGAGTCATCTCTGTTGTTGCATTTGTCCAGGAATTTTGTATGATAATCTGTATGTTTTGTCAGCTCTACAAATCTTTATGAGAATGATCTATACAGTTAATGAGGATATCCTTCAGAGAAATATGAAAAAAGGAACAGGAACCTTTTAAAAAGAAAATTCTACAAGACCACATTTTTACTGTCATAAAACTGATAAAGGGGGGGCAGCTAGGTGGCGTAGTGAATACAGCACCTGCTCTGAAGTCAGGAGGACCTGAATTCAAATCTGACCTCAGACCAAGCACTTGACATTTACTAGCTGTGTGACCCTGGGCAAGTCACTTAACCCCAATAGCCTAAAAAAAATTTAAAACAAACAAAAAAAAAACTGATAAAGGTTTAGAGCAGAGGTTCTTAATCAGGGATCAAGCTGATAAATTTCAGGATGTAAACTTAAATGGGAAAAAAAATCTACATCTTTATTTTTACTAACCAACCTCTAACTGAAATTTAGCATTTCCTTTAATTATTAAAACAAACACATTATTCTGAGGTATCCAGAACACACAGAAAAGATTAAGAACTCCTGGTTTGGCGGGTCATAGATTTTGAGCTAGAAGGGACCTTTAAAGGTCATGTAGTCCAATCCCCTCAATTACAGAGGAGCAATCTAAGCCAGGCTTAGAAAGAACACAGTATCTTACTGTTCACTGTTTGTTGACTATACGTTTTTTTATTTTAAATTTAAGACTGCAAAGTGCTGCCTTAAAAGCTCTCTTCTAACAAAGCCTCTCCCACGCCTATGTTAAGACCACTGGCCACTGGTGGGGCTGGATTGTTAGGTGTTTTTCTTTCTGGAGCTAAAAGCGCCTCATATATTTTCACTCCACTAACCACCTTCCCAAGGGCCCCTCTGGGAGGACCCGTAGATCGGTTCCACTCGAGATCTAACTTTTGAGGAAGCGGGTGGAAGCCTGCACCTCCCAAGTCTCCCCAGACAAGCTGCCTTCTGCTGGGTTGCTCAGATCTCCTTCCAGGATCCCCAGTTACCTTGGGAGTCGTGTGGGAAGAAATGGGAACGAGACTCACATACCCAATCAGGTTTCAAACGCTATCAATTCCACCTCCACAACTGCACTCCCTTCTCTCCATCACACAACCAACACCCCGGTTCGGACCCTCATCACCCGGCGCCTGGGAAATCCCGGGGGCCTCCTCCAGAACTCCTCTCGCTAACTCTAGTCTCTCCCCTTTCCAACCTACCCTTCCGGCAGCTTCCCAATGCACACGTCTGACCACATCACCCTCCCTCGGTCAAGAACCTTTTGTGGCTCCCAGCTGGCATTTACCCGGCGCCTTCACGTTTGCCAACCGCTTTGACTCTAACCTCTCCAGACTGTCATTTGTAAGAACGGCTGGTAGTTGAATGTTTACAAAGCGCCTGGCCGACAGCTTCTCATTTGATCCCCACTAAAGCTCTCCAAGTCACACGCTGCCGTTATTGTCCCCATTAGACACGTGAGGAAAGAGGCAAACTGAGGCTGGGCGACCTCCCACCCAACCCTTCTTCACCTCCACCTCTGGGAAGGGTCCATTCACGGAGGAGGCATCGGAGAGGTGGAGGTGAGGCCGGAAGGGGCGGGGAAGGGCCTGGGCAAAGGCTCGGGGACCGGAGACCGGGGCGATAGACAATAACCAATGCCGGGCTTTCGGGGCCCCCGGCGGGGCCTGCGTGCGGCCTCCCCCGGGACGGACGGCCTCGGCACCCCCAGCGCCGGGCGGGCCCCGGGGCCTCCCCTCGCGGCCCGGCCCGTCCTCCCGTCTTCCGCCCGGCTGCCCTCCCGCCGCCAGCGGCGCGCTTCGACCTACGAGCTCCGGCGACTCCCGCCGCGGCGCCGGCGCCGGCTCCGGCTCCGGCCGGGTCCGTTGGTTCGGTTTGCTCGGCGGCTTCCGGAGCCTCGTTCGAAATTCTCCGCTGCGCTCCCCCATTGGCGGACGGCGTCGCATCACGTGAGGTGGCCGAAGTCGCGCCGCCGTCGCCGGGGAGACCAGAGAGGAGGGTGTGCGTGGGTACGTACGCCCCTCCCCCGCCCACTTGTCTCCGTCACGTGATACCTACTCCGGCCTCATTCCTCTAGGATCCACTCCCCCTACTCGTCCACGGCCCGCTGCTCTTTTTGCATCCGGGTACCTCGTTTTCTCCCGGCGATGAAGGAAACGACTGGCTCCTCCCCCGACGCTCTGCTGCGCCGGGATGGGGGAGCTTCCAAGCTCTTAGAGCGAGGTTACTTTCGGTCGCCCCGCATCGCCCTCTGGTAGTGGAGAAGGGGAACGACGCTTCCATCCTTTCTGGCTCAGGCTCTTACTGGACAGATAGATGCGCACAGCCACCCTTAGCAGCTGTGCCACATTGATCTAGTGGTTTCATTTTCTGAGTCTCAGTTTCTCTTTATGACAAATGTAAAGTAATATTTGCATCACCCGCCTCTTCTAAATCTTAAAATCTGCTTTTTTTCTAAATCTGTAGACGTTTGAGCAGCGTGCAAAGAGCACTGGATCTGGGGGACCACAGGGGTCTGTGTGTATTCAATTAAAGAAATCAGCAGGAGGTGGGGAAGGCTTCTTGTAGAGGGGGCACTGAGCTGAGGAATTTGAAAAGGCAAAGGTGGGGAGGGATGACAGGGTCTGAGCTGGGCGAGATCTCAGAGGGCATCTCTCTGGTCCATTCCCACAGATTGGTGGCCAGGCGTCTGGTTGGATTTTCATTGCAGTTCAACAGATGGTTGTCAGGAGCCCACTGGTTTATCATCATAATGGCTGGTCCTTCTACTGAGCTTTGAAGGTAGCAAAGTCCCTAACATACATTTTCTCAGTTGATTCTCACAGCCCTGCGAGGTAGGCTGGTAGATGTGTTCAGTGGATAACATGGTGTCAGGAAGATCTGAGTTCAAATTCGACCTCAGAAGTTTGCTGGTTGTGTAACCCTGCTTAAGTCACTTGACTTCTGCCTGCCTCAGTTTCCTCCACTTTAAAACAGAGATAATAATAGCAACTAGGTCCCAGGGTTTTGTGAGGATCAAGTAATATTCATAAAACACTTTGCAAACCTTTTTTTTTGTTTGCTTGTTTTAGGCAATTGGGGTTAAGTGACTTGCCCAGGGTCACACAGCTAGTAAGTGTCAAGTATTTGGTCTGAGGCCAGATTTGAACTCAGGTCCTCCTGACTCCAGGGCCAGTGCTCTAGCCGCTTCGACACCTAGCTGCCCCCAATAATTTTTTTTTTTTTTTAGTGAGGCAATTGAGGTTAAATGACTTGCCCAGAGTCACACAGCTAGGAAGTATTATGTGTCTGAGGCCAGATTTGAACTCAGGTCCTCCTGACTTCAGGGCCAGTGTGCTAGCCACTGCACCATCTAGCTACCCCCAGCACTTTGCAAACCTTAAAGCACCACAAAATGCTAGCTGTTACTGTTATTATTGGTCCAATTCTGGAAAACTGAGGCTGAAAGAAATGAAGTGACTTCCAAAAGGTTCACATAGCTAGTTTCTGAAGCAGGATTCAAATTCAGGTCTTCCTGATTTCAATTTTTGAAGATGATGTGCTCAGCTGTTGGGGTGCAAAAGCAAAAACAAAAACAAATCTTTACCCTCAAGAAGTTTCCAGTCTACCAGAGAAAATCAACATGCAAACAAATGAATAAATGGGAAGTGTATACAAAGTAATTTCAGTAGGGAGAAAGTGTTAAGGAGGTATTGAATTATTCATGATGTCCCATCCCCCTTCGCAAGTGTACATATCAGCCCTCTGGTAACTTGTAACCTATCCTCTTATTGGCATTTCAAGCCTTTCACAACTTGGCTCCAACCTGTCTTCATCAATGTGTTTCTCTTATCTAGCATAGTGCTCAGTAAAGACTTCTTGTTGCTTGTCTGGTCACATGGCTTGGATATACTGGGAGTCAACACTGTTGTGATGATGTGGAAGACCACCTGGGCTTACTATCTATCTGCCGGTCCTTTGGCTCTGTGATCTGACCCACTTCTGTAACCTATGGACCCTTTGGGCCATTCACCCTGCTGCTGCACCCTTAGAACTTTTGGGCTTTTCCATCTGCTCAGTTGTTTTGTCCCTTGTTTTTGAAGAGGACCAGGGACATCATAGGATAATGTATGGACTTGCACTTGAATTGATTTAAGTGAGGTAGAGTTGTACAAAGCATCAGTCTCACTCTGTCTTCCAGAGTCATGGAAGTCCAGTGGCGAGACAAAAGTCAGGATGACTGGAGATGGCCTGGGATGTAGAGGATGACCTTGGTGTCTCCTGACCAAGCTCTAATTGCTCCGTAGTGCCTGCTTCAGCCGCCTTCTTGGTGGTTGGAACAAAGTGTTCTCATCTACCCATTCTGCCCATGGGGGAGTCTTTACATGCTTTGGGTAGACATCTCCCTAACTCACTGACGGGTTTGAGGCCAGTCAGCCAACCTGGTTTAGCCCATCTCTGAGATGGTTTTACTGGTGTGGTCCTGCATGCTACAACTTCTTGGAGCCAGACGTAAATGTTGGGTGAAAAGTGGACACCAAATTTGGATGAATAGCGCTGAAAAAAGCCCCGATAGTCCTCCTTTAACAACCCACATGCCCCTGGCTCAGTAGCTGGTTTCTTGAAATGTCATCTCCTCCAATTAGAACGTGAGCTCCTGTAGATCAGTGCCTGTCATGACATTTCTATCTCCAGAACTTAGCACAGTGTTTACATATAGTGTTTAATAAATGCTTTTCCTCATCCATCCATTCATTCATTCACTTATTAGTGTGAGGAAGGTGATGGAGCTTTGAAATATTGAGGGTTCCTAAGGTAGCTAATAGTACTCATAATTGGACATCCAAGGGGATCCTTTAGCTGAATTTTGCAATCTGTATTGGGCTTTCCAAAATCTAATAAAGTTAACCTGAGGACATAAAATGATCAACAAAACAAGCATTTATTCAATTCCCAATGGCATTTTACATTAGTTTTAAATAGTGGGAAGTATTTCAGAAATCTAATCAATTAAAGTCATTACAATAGAATACCCAATTGATTGCTTCAGAATAAGTCCAGGGTAGTTAATTGCTAAGGAGATCCACTGGCATTAGCCTTAAAATCCTTTTAGGATCTTTTTCCTCACAGCCTACATCAATTCTTTTATTATTTGAAGGAGTCCTAATTTCATGGGGGTGAGTAATCCCTCCCCATGTCTTTAAGAGGGCCTTTGCCTCAGGGCACAGGGCATTTAGAGGCCTAGTTAGGGAAAATAATTAGTGAAAATAGGAAGCTAAGCCTGGGCTGTAAGTCCCTCTTTCCCTGTCCTGTTCTGCTCCCCTCCATCTCTTCCTTCCATCTCCATGTATTTGCCAGAGTCTCTAGGTCTCTGTCCTTCTGCCACAGGGAGGGTGGCGTAGGGGTGGGGAGGGGAGGGGAGAGGAGGGTATCCCAACCCCCCAACTGAAGGTGTGCTTCCTGCTGTTATTCTGGCATAGTTTGTGGTACCTGATCTTGGCATTAAAATTCCTAGTTATTGCTTTCATCCATTGACACAGAATAGAAAATGCTTAGTATTTGAGACTTGCTAGGACCAGAAAATTTATCGTCCTATGGGTGAACATTCATCAGGACCCAGGGCCACCTGGTTGTTGTTGTTGTTTTTAATAAGCTCAGGAATAGACACAGCCTGTTATTCATTGTAACTTGTATTTTCCTGATATGTCTTCTTTTTAGCAGCCCTAGGTTTTTGTTTGTTTGTTTTTCTGTTTTTAAAATGATATTTTGTGAGTCCTACCTACTAAGAGGCAGCATGACATGGTGGATAGAAAGTTGGCCTTGAGGTCAGGAAGACCTGGGTCTGTCTTGCCTCTGGTATATGCTGACTGTGTGACCTTGGCCAAGTCATCTACCTGTGGCTATAGTCCTAGAACAGGTGCTGATTAGCATTGGTAGTGAGAGTTTCTTCCCTGGAAGTTCCTTGTTCTAATAAAGTAGGGATCATTTTGTTCTTCTATCTCCAGCACCTAACTCTGTGCCTGGCACATAGTAGGTATTTAATTAATATTTACTGGTTGGTTGACTGATAGTACTACACCCATTATTATCATATTTTTTTTTTTTAAAGAATACAAACAGAAAAAGATGAAATAAGAACTCGGTGCCTACTTTTCAATCAATGATGGAATATGAGAGTGTATTCTGATGCAATGCTATGTGAAACCTATGATTTCATCCTCATGGGAATTCTTGAGAACTATCTTCAGTGAAGCATATTGCAATCCAGCAGTGATGTAATAGGTAATTCCTAAGGATTTGCCCAAGGCATTTAGGATTAAGTATTTTGCTTAGATTCAACAGCTAGTGATGATCAGAGATAAGACTTGAACACAGGTCTTCCTGATTCCAATTCTAGCCTACCTACAAAGATGAACAAAAATTTTTGACAGTCATTGGAGTAATGAAGTTTTAAAGTAAATGGATTGCTGAATATGAAAATAATTTTATTTTCCTAGGTCTGAATAAAGGATTATTGTTATTTGAGACTAGATTTCCCTATCTAGTCCAGTCTAGAAGTACGGGGGCCACCTGTGGCACAATTTCAATACTGATCGACATGGAAGCTTGAAGTTTTTTCTGATCTGGGCAAGGTCATTCCTCTTTAGGC